GGGGGGGGGGGGGGGGGGGGAGTAGCACACGCCAAGGAGGTGGGGTGGCTCCGGCCGCTGGGCTGCGCAGCAAGAGGCGGCTCCCCCGATAATAGGTGGGTGACGCGTCAGGGGGAGACCCACGTCTGAGGAGACCAGCAGCGCCCTGCCCAGGTGGCCGTAGCCTGGCTCCGCAACGCGGTCCCGGCCAGTAACTCACCGACTTGTAGGACATTGTCGACATAGCCGCCATCCAGCAGAACGATGCCCCGGTGAAAGGGCAGGTGGTTCTCGTCGACGGCGGCGGTATCCGCGCCCCCACCGGGCGCGGTACCGCCGGCGGCCCCCCCGGGGGCGGTGGTAAGATCCTCGGCACCGGTGTTGAAGGAGGAGTACATGCAGATTTCCCTCTCGCTGCGGGGGAAAGACCAGTAGACAATCCTGCGTTGCACCGGCTCTGGGATCCGTTCGAACCGCTCCTCCACCCGCTGGAAGGGCCACTTCTCCGCCACCTTGCGAGCCGCGATGTCCAGCAGGGACTCGGGGCTCTGGGTCTTGCCGAGCGGTAGCAGCCCCAGAGCGGCAGCGGCAGCAGCTACAGCAGCAGTTGCGGAGGAGGGTCCGGCGCAGAGCACTCCACTGCTGAGGCTAGTGCCGCCTGCCCGTTGGCCTGGCCTGCTGGCCGAGCCATAGCCAGGTCTGCAACAGAGGCGCTTAGCGGGGAAAGGGAGTTGACCACGCTCCGCCATGATCGCACCGCTTCTAAGTGGATAGCGGAAGTGGGTATATCGTATAAACGGCACCAAAAAGGCCGCGAGCCACCCCTGGGTCACGCCCCGTCTTCCTTTACATGGCCGCAAGGGGCGGTACCGGCTGCTCGTCCACGGTGGGGGGCGGAGTCGACGCCATAAACGTAAATAGAACGGCCCAAGGAAAGCTTGCTCCCCGTGTAGGTAGGAGATGGTGCGCGTGCTCCTGTCGCAGAGACGCTGTGCTGATGTATTGGTCGCCTTCTTTTCCCCCGACGTCACGCGTGCAAGTCTGAGAGCACCTTTCATGCCTGGTGGGAAGGGGGAGCGTGGCTGGTGGAGGCACTCTCTGACATCGTGTAAGGAATGGAATGCGGGGGTGGGGCCGTCGCGGTCTCAACCCGGTCATCTCCGCGGGGGTGGGTTAGAACTGTTCCCCGCAGCCGGAAAGTGTAGTAACGACTGAGGCAGCCACTCTCGTCCACAAAAAGGTGGGGGCTGGCCTGCCTCAAGCGCCTTTCCTGGGGGAAGAGAGCGACGCTCGCCTTTCACCGGAGCTCCGCGGACGTTGAGGGCTGCTGGGAGGCAGCGGAGGCTCCTCGGAGGGCAGGTAGAAGGTGCTTATGGGCGGCTCCATGTGGGGTTGAGTGGCCCGGCCTGGGCTCCTGCCTCAGAGGCGGGCTGAAATGGGCGAAGCTGGAGTGTTGCTGTCGGGGTGCTGCTCTTCTGGAGTAAGATCTGGGGTGGCTGAACCCACGTGTTCCTGCAACAAGTCCTTGAGACAGCTCAGTAAGATGCGACCTGCATTTCCCTTTTATTGGAGACACTACAGTAGCTACGACTGTTGGGCCGCGGGGTGGACTCCCGTCCCGTGGGGTGTTCGACGTGTGCTGGCTCGCTGGTCCCGCGCGCGCTGTGGACGTGTTTGTGTGTGGGCTGGTTGTAGCCTGGTATGAGCTCCACGCAGCCGACTCGCTTCACAGGTCCGGCTTGGAACCGCTCTGATAGCCCAAGATGAAGGGCTCTGACATGACCCACAGTGAGTAAATTGAACGCTACTAACGCGTTGTGTTTGCCCTAGTGTTAAAAAGGTCTGTAAAAAGGCTGGTGTTGGCCATCTGTCCCGGTTAATTTTTTTGCAAGCGGTGCGGTGCATAATGCTCGCAGTTGCTGCAGACCATGAAGTGACAAGTATTCTTTTTATTTTTCAGGATTCATTAAAAAACATAGCAATATATGGGATCATACCGACTCCTTAAATCAAATGGCCTTCCTGAAAAAAAAAGCTGATTACCCCCAGTAGCAAGCTGAGAATAAGACTCCTGCATAGCAACTTGCAGTTGAAAACACTTATTTATCTTGCTTGAATTTAACAATGAACAGCACTTCATACTATACGATGCAGAAGCCGTCATTTGAGTGCCTAATTGCTTCATTCACATAGACTACCCAGGAAGACTACATTTTCTATGATGTAATGCAAGTGTTCATCTGGGAAATGCATAGTTGGGAGATGGCTCCATCAGGGAAATCAGTGAAAGAATGTCAAGTGTGTCAGGTGTAAGATAAACGAAGTAGAAATAACATTAAGGTGACTTGAAACTTGATATCTACTTTTTGTTTTCACCAAAACCTGACACTGCACCAATAGTTTATTCTTTTAACAGGTGTTTAAAGAGCTTTGCAGAAACTGTGTTTTCCATTAAAACTGGATGGAAAATTCAGTGAACTGTATAAGATTTGCAGACTGGTTTTTAAAAAAAGATCAACAGAAAACCTGAATATTGTTTAAAATATGCAAGTATTTGCTTTTTTACATACTGCTAAGCTCTTAGTATCATTGATTTGTTATTTAATAGGTAATCTTTTTACATCTAGGCAAAGAACTTTTTCTGCTGTCAATTGCTTATATTAAGAAAACAGCTAATGGTTTTTAATCAAGGAGTTTAAATTGCAGACTACATACAGGGACTCAACTTTGTTCTGCAGAGTTCATTTTCTGTATATGCTATAAGGTGTTTTTTCTTTGGGATCATGAGCTCTACCTTCTGAACAGGAAATTAGTATAAACTGATGTTTGTGCTTCTGGGTATAGACAGTACAAAACAGTTACTCTTGAGGTACCAGTTTTGTAAGTTCACAGATACCTTGCTTGAGATATTAACTTGCATTTTCATCATTTTAGGTATATACTTTAGAAGTGATCTACTGGATTTATAACTTAATTCCTACTAAATTTTGGAGGTATTTGGGAGCCTGAATACTACAGACAAGAGATAAGGATGAAGCACTTTATTTTACTATTAATATGGTATTGATTTCAGTATTTCTGAGAGCAGATGAATGGAATATATAGCAAGTAAAAAGGAATAAATTAATGATTGCATGTGTACAAGAGCAGAGGAAATTTATATTTAATTTTCACCCCATCACTCTTAATAATTGTTCACATTCTAAAGTATTTTTTCTTCTATGTTATTCTAGCACTATTTCTGTTTTAAACAAGTGTCTAGTAAGTCAGTAAAAATGCTCTTCTAAATTGGGTAATGGCTTTTCTTTACCAGGTCTTAACCAGCTGCTGAAATAAAAATAACACACTAATGCCACTGGAAGAATTCTTCCTGTCATAATAAAGAAGCTTTATAGTGAAAATTGAGATTAACCTTTTTAATCCATCTACTACAGGAATGTCTACTTCCTGTTAAGTATGAATATTAATAGCTACACAGGATGCTCTTGAAGCATTTTTCATTTCTGGGCTAGGGGGTACATGAAGAAGTAATGGCATCTTTGATCTTGAAATTCTGCCATAAGTACCAGGTATGCTTCTCCTTGAGCTCCCTCTGCATTGGTGTAGCTCCATAATTATTTGCAAATTATAATCTTGAGTCTGAAGTTCCTTTGTCACACTAGTATTGCCCCTTGAGTTCTTTTAACTTTCTGAAAGCCAATGGGAAGATGTGTTAATTCCTGGGAAGATAGTAAAATGTATTAAAGCCATACCTGAACTATATTTAAATTTATAGTTAGTTTTATCTTTCAATGGATATTCTTGTGTAAAGACCTTGCTGAGCTGAGCATGCCTCTTTTTCTGCTGCATGGTTTTGGGAGATCTGTATTCCAGAGCTATGCAGAGAGGAAGGAACAGCTGCAAAACAGCAACCTTGACTTGGTTAGCTTCCTGCACATAATCAAGGCCTATTCTGTGAGCTGCTTGAAAAAATACTTGACCACCATTTGGTGAAATTGATTCTTAGTAGTGTTTCAAAACATTAGGCCACTTGCATGCATTTTTGCTCATTCTAGTAAGACATGCAGGGCTTAATCATTCTATTAGTTATGGTAATTTAAAAGGAAGATCACATACAGCTGCACAGTTGTGTTTATATTAAACAAACAATGGTCTAAATGTAGAAAAATGGATTGCAGACAACCTAATGCTGGCCAACACTGTAGCAGCCTGAATTGCTGCTAGTAAAGTCCAGGGTAAAGAAGCAAAAAGGGCCTTTGCATAATATCCACAGATGTTTAATTCAGCTGTGCGGTGAGATGTTCAGGTCCAAGACACACACATTCAGAGTCCAGCTTTTTCCCTCCCCAGGGGAACCCCAGGGTCCACCTGGTCTCTGGGCAGTACCAAGATGAGGGCCAATCAGGGGATAGGGAGGGAGTAGCTCAGGGACATAGGAGCAAGGGAAGAAGCCAGTGGGGTCGAACAGCTTTGAGGGAAGCTTCTTGTGTCTCCCTAACTTAGGGGATGCCCCCCAGGGCCTCCACAACACAAGTCACCCTGGTGGTAACAATTATCTGGAAATATGAAAACAAGAACAACAACCAACCATTAAGAGGAGACATGGCATTTAAGCTGAACAAGAGTGCAGATTCATGTGCTGGAACAGTAGGGAGTTAGAGATTAAGAAGAAACTCAGGGAGGTTAGAGGGCTCTTAGAGCTTTAAGAAAAAACATAAGAACATTATTCACAGTGTTAGCACTAAAATAATCAAATGCAAAATTACTGATTTCTCTGCTGAAACAGGTGATTTTAAAATAATAAATTAATATTCACACAATAGTTATCCCTTAATTGTGAGAGCCAATCATCTCATTATCCATCTATAACACTTTTTAACCTGTTTCTTTATGGGTTTTTTAGATAACTAAGCAGTTCTTATAAGAAAGCTATAGGTTTTATGGATTCCAAATGTATTCTGTGATTTATCATTTGAAATTCTGAAAAACACTGTTGTAGATAATATTAGTGAATATCACTATACTTTGCAGTGTAGTGACTGGAAATTTAAACACGGGAAAAATGGATAATAGTGATGAGTGTTGATGAAGTTATTGTCTTAAGATTGGTCAATGAAGAAAATGTGCTTGGTCAATATCTTTGGGTTTACAATGTTTTCTTAAATAGTTTCATTTGTTATATTCAGAAACTTTTTTTTTAATTTAAGGAGTTTAAAATAGAATGTTTGGCTTTTAGTAGCCTTTTAAACCTAATACTCTAGGATAAATATTGCCATCTCTTTAGAGTCTCTCTGTTAAAGTGAAAATAAACCAGCAGCAATGAATGAGCCCTTTCAAAGTGCAGGTTTTTATTCTAATTAAATTTCATGATGATTCTGAAACTGGTGTCAGGCTAGAATCTAAAAGCATTTAGGAAAATGTACTAAAATACCAAGTGTGCTTTAACAGTATTCTACAATAATGAAAAGACACAAACATTCTAATTCTTGACATTCATTTCTGTCCTCTGCCTTTTTGTGGCTTGATACTTGATGTATAAAGTCATTCTAAGATGGACTGAAGGAAAGGGCATTATGCATGCCAGAGTCCCAGAGATGTGTGAATTAAGGTTGCTCTGTATTTTCTCAAGGAATGAGCACATTCAGTTTGCATTTATTGAAAGTAGACCCTGGGAATGAATTATTTCTTCCTTATAAGTATCCTTGTGCTGGGATATCTGTTGGGACAATTTAGCTCACTACTGAGTTACTAGGGATAAAAGCATCACCATTCCAAGTAAAATGATATCATGAAAGTGATTTCTTAAAATTAAACATGTTGAACTGATTTAGAAGATTCAGAATTTCAAAGTAAAAAAGCTTTCCTAAACTTTAAAGGATTGTATTTCTTCTAATATAAAAATAAAAGCAAATTTTATGAAAACTTAATGTTTTAAAATAACTTCTAGGTATTTTTTCTCAGGTTAAACAGTTGCAAAATACTACTGTTTGATTTACTGTCATAAACACCTCAGCACATATAATTGTCTCGATTTAGAGACAAGTTTATGAGAAAAACG